CACAATACACAAAGGCAAAACTCAATACAGAGAAGATGCGGCCTTTACCAGCGGTTATGGCTCACTTTGTGCGTAAACTGCGAGACAGTCCTCCACACAACAAACACGCACACCGCCAGCAGTCATCCACAATGGAAGATGAGAAGAGACACAGCGCCACCGCCTCCAGTTCAATCCCACGGGCAACAGGATACGACCACAGCCCGCAGCCAACGCACAACGCACACGAAGTAATCACCCAAGCAGCCACATGCGGAAGCGGATCCTCACCCAGCCATGACGCGGCGACAACATTTCCAGTCATTCCATCCACAATGGGATTGGGTGCCCAACTCAAAGGAGTCATAGGCGGTGCATCACGCCAACAGCAAAGTTGACTCGCGGTGCGCTCCCTCTCTCCTCCTCCTCCTCATGCCCACAGAAGGAGGCGGGAGCCGCCAGCACACGCTACAAAAGAAGCATCAAAAACCACTGCAATGTGCATTTTGTGTGTGGTTGTGTGTGCCTGCAGACACACGAGGCAAAGAAGTAAAAACAGGGGCAGAGCATGTGAAGGGACGCACAAACAAAAATGTACAGCAGAAGTGCATGGCAGAAATTAAGGGAAAAAGACCGCTCAAGCTCATGATATTGCACTGCAGACAAAGCAGCGGCAATTCATTAAAAATTTAATAAAATAATTAGAAAAAAACAATTCCCTTTCCACACCTCACACTTTGGAAAGAAAAAAAATGAAAAAAAGAAAATGAAAAAATTGAAAAAAGTCGTCCTCTATTACTGTTCCACACAAAAATGATAAAAAGAAAAAAAAAGGAAAAAAGAACCACACAAAAAAAAGCACCTAACTACCACGTTGCTCCAGGAACTGTCTGCATACATTTTGTCCGAAAATAAAATTGAATAGTTGCATGTCTTTAAACCGTCCGACCCTCCGTGTGTCCGCACATCGTTTATATTTCATGGGGTCATCTGCGTGTTGCTGCTCCCCTCAGCCCTCCCATCGGTGCGCGAGTGCGGCCCGCAGAGCACAGTCACTCGTGTGTGGGGGGACTGAGAGAAGCACGCAGACATGACGGGAGTCGCGTCACTCCATCGGGAGAGTGAGCGCAGCAAAAGAAAAAAAATCATCAGGAGGGGAGAAATGCTGACGGGACTGCCAGCACGTGAAATGAACACGCAAAGCAATATACTAAAAAAAGAAAAACACAGCGGCAGGGTGTGGCTGTGTGTGTGGCGCTGCGGGTGTCTGCCCGCCCTGGCCGCATAAAAAGCAAAACAAGAGGGAAGAAATGTGTGCTCCGCCCCACAGGCCCTCGTCGCACGCCCACACGTCACGGCTCCCTCAGCGCGCCGTTCGTCGCGGCCCCTCCTCATGCGTGCAGCAGGCGAGGCGCACAGGGCCGTCGTCATGAGCGTGTCGGTGGGTGTGCGAGTGGAGCAGTTGGGCGGGAAACACACGGCACCCCTCACAGGAAGGGTGCCACAGGAAACAATTAAAAGAGGGAAGAGTAAAAAAAATCACTCCCTCAGTGATTGTCCTAAAGCAACAAGCAAAAGAAGGGAAATAATTAAAGCAAACACAAGAACAAGAAAAAAAAAAAGAAAAAAAAGTGGAATTAACAAAGCTCATTGAGTGTTGCTGGGATGCTGCTCCTTTATTGCTCCACAGAATTTCACAACTTTGCTCTCCCCAATTCATTCAGCAAAGAGCCGCAGTGCCCCACAGTCCCAGAAGCAGCAACAACAGCACCCGAGACACACACCCATGCACGGTGCTGTCACCAGTTAGAGAAATGGCCGGCAAGTCCCCGAACTGCCCGTGCTCAAGCAAAATGCCAGTGTCCGAGGGTGTTGTTGCGTTGGACTTTGATGGGATCTTGGTTCCCCCAGGCGTTGTGCTTGCATTCACCGGTGCGGTGCCAACGTCCTCACTGTCTCCATTTTCAACCAAAGGCGCAGTGGTTTCTTCACTCTTCGACTCGGAAGCAACCGAGAGGCCTGTGCCGGTCACCTGACCTGTGGGTTGTTCCTCAACACCCAGTGATGGAATATTGACTTTGCTGGCATGGAGTTCATCCAGATCATTTCCCCACAGTTTCTCGTTGTACAGCATGACGTTGGTAACAGTGACATAGCCGCCCGTTGCACTTTGGTCCTTACTGTCCCCACCGATATAGAAGTGTGAAATCCTGTGGAAGTCAAACAGACTCTCATTATATTTCGTGTGGCAAATTTTCTCTCGATCTACAATGACAGTCCATTCATGATGATCCATTCGCAGTACCACCTGATATGTCTTGTTTGGCTCCCACCCATCGACGAGCTTCGAAGTAGCAGGATCCTCCGATATGGCCAACCACGTCTTGTCATGGGTGTACGACAGACCAAAAAGCACCGTGCCTTTGGTGTCATTCATCCTCATGCCAATCAAAGGAACGGGGCTGCTGCCTGACTTCGGCACCTCGTGGATGGACACCGTCGCAGCAAGAGTGAACTCGTTGTTTGTAAAGTAGTACGGCACAGTCTGCCCCATGTCGCCAACAGGCCACACCGCCCCTGCTTCAGGCCCTTTGAACGTCACTCCATTGGGAACCCCTATCCTTTTTTCCGCTGGGCCATGGACAATGGCGTTCACGCCGAGGTACTCGTCTCGCCACTCGGTCCCAGTTGAGCTACCAGACAAGAAGCCAACAAGCCCGTCAGTGGGAACAGGGCCATTGCACATACCCTTCGTTGGCAAGCCGACAGTGGTGCTGGAACCGGAACGGCATGAATGCAAGGCGCTGTCCAAATCCTTCCATGTCTTCACCACTTCCTTTATCCGCTCCAGTTTCTCGGTCAGACGCACAGCAACAAGATTGTATGATCCGTCGCTCTTGTTTTCGTACAGTGAAACCAACTCCTTATTTTTATCCTTTATCAACAGCGAGCTCGCGGCAGCGTCATCTTCTTCACGGGATACCGGCCCAACATCATACACGCGGGCCTTGTCCGTCACCCAAAGATGAAGCCGACCTTTTCCATTGTCGTTCGCATACACCGGCGCGGTGATGAGCATCACCTTCTTTTCCTCAATAATTGCGGTGGTGGATCCACTCTGGACGCCGTCCCCTGATCGATTGTGTGAGTTGCCCCACACGCGGGTAATTGGTTGGAAGTGTCCGTACCAATTGTCTCCATTCTCAGTGGACATGTAAACGTCATAGTAGCCTCCAGCACAATGAGCCATCATGAAGAGCCTTTCGTCGCCTTCGTTTTCTCCCCACTCCACAATGGATGGATCCCTGCAGCCTTTACCAGGTGTCTCGTATGAAAGCTCCCATTTGTTCCCTGACTTGGGGAAATGCATAGACAACAAAACGCTCGTTCCATTACTGTCTTTGGCCTGCATGGGAAACACAATCGTGCCGTCACCCATCACAGCACCCGATCCTCCACCGCCAATTAACTCGGTCAAGGAATGAGAATCTCCTTTGCCTTGAGGGTTCACCAAATGGGTCTCATTCCACACAATTTTCTTCTTTTCACCATCCACCGTGACAGTTCCCTTCACGAGTAAAAGACCCCGCTCATTCGTACCTTCAACCTGCGGCTCTGTACGGCCGTATTTCCCCACCAGCATGTAGACACTGTTCCCAATTACAACCGTCGTTGGTCGCAACACTTCTGTTATCCCAAAACTACTCGCGGCGGTGTCCACAAGTTGCATGCAAAACAAACTTATATCCGACGTCAAAATATCCATTGGGTCATCCTTTATATCCAGGTGCTTTGAGACAATCCCAGGACAGCTGCCGGTTCCTTCCTTCTCCCCGCACTGCGCCTCAGCAACGGAAAATACATCATCACCCACTTTAACGAGGCCAGGAACGCGGAGCGAGGTGATTTTGCTTCCGCCGTCCTTAAATTCTCTCCAATTAGCAAATGATATCGGCGTCGTCCCCTTAAACGGGTCAACAGCGGCCCCTGCGTGCTCAACGGCCGCAGCTCCACCGCAGCACATCATCATGACGAGGAGAAGCAGCAGCACCGTGGAAGCAAACACAAGCCGGGACATGTTGGGCCTCTGCGGCTCACTTTCTCTTCCTTCCCTCCTCCTTCCGCTAGATCCGGTCACGCGGCGACGGTTGTGTGTGCGGGATGCCTTCACTGCAGCAACGCGTGAGAGCATATAAATATGTGTGTGTTGGCGGTGTGTGTGCTGTTGTTCCTTTCAGAGCCTTCGAATTTCACACTAGAGATTCGCGTTTGTTTGATTTCCTAGCGTGTCTTTGTCCAAGAAATGGAGAAGAAAACAACAGCGGCAGCACATCAGACACGTCAGTGAGGAGCAGAGCAGAACGCCCACGAAAAGAGCGGGACTCGAGAGAACACAGAAAGAACAGCATGGAAAACAATTGCACACAGAAAACAGCAAAAACAATAACAACACGGCAAGTCACGGCGGAAGCCAACACACACGCACAGAGAGAGAGAGACATGCACGCGGAATTTCATCATTCGGCGACGCCATTCAAAGTCCTGCCAAAACAGTCCGCAAGTGATACAGTGATCAGTCACACGCTCCCGGTGCACCGCCGCGGCAAGTACGCGGACACAAACGAAAATATGTGCACAAACGTGGGCGGCACCAATTCACAGCACAGTCAAACGACACATGCTCTCTCGGTCCATCCCACGTCCCACCTCAATAGTCCTCGGCAAGCACCAATCAACAAAATAATAAAGCGGCGGAAACAACCTCCCTGTAGGCACTTCAGGGCTCCACAGCCACGCCACCAACAGGAGCGTGCAGCCCTCCGCTTGCAGCAGTGCACTTTCCTTTGCTCCTGGCCTCTCGGGGCGTTGAACACTACCCCGACCATCTCGCGCTCACAAAGCAAGCCGCACGCAGATGCCATTCATTTTCTCCGCAAATGGTGTTGCCGCGATGAATTATGTGCAAATAATCCACAACACGTCATCCAAAGTTTCTTTCCACTGCCACAAAAGAAAAAGAAAAAAATGCTTTGAAAAGTCAACACAAATACCAATTCGCCCTAGTCACTGCGCATTGCTCCGCACAAGATCGTTGTTACTCGCCCTCTGCTCTTCGCCCATCCCATTCCTGCCTGCCAGGACGTACAACACAGTCGCAATCCCTCCCAAGAAAGAATTTACCACATGCTGGCACGGGCCACATTTTCCCCTTTGCATCCCGGTCTCCCGCCCACAGGAGGGCAAACAGGGAAATTGCGTGCATGTGCGTGTGGATGGCGATGTAAAAACCTCATGGTAATTCAAAGAAATACGACAGGCAGAGCAACCCCGTCCACGGATTGTAGGTTCACTCGTACACCGCAGCAGGAAGAGCAAACGTCCTCTTGTTGCTTTTCTGAGAGGCCGATTCATTATCATCACGCCGCCTCAACAGCGTGTACCGGCGAGCGGAGGAGATGATTGCTCAATCGCACCTCGCGTCGGAGGCGCCCACAACGTCTCCCTGTGGCCACTCGCCCTCAGCAACGAGCCGCATGGCAGAACGCAACACAATTCACCCACTCGCCAATTAAATAAATAAAAATGCATCTCAGCGCCATAAAACGGCCATCAACATCCATTTCACGGCAGACACCAAATGCCAAGGGATTGAAATATATATATACGCGGATGGTCTCCCACAATACATTCTAGCAAGGGATCGTCTCTCAAGCCTAAAAATAAACACCGTAAAGTCACAGAAGCCGCCTCGTCAAGCCAAAAATCGTGTGATGCCCCTCCTCGCAATGCTCTGCTGTCCGCAGACACCGCCCTCTGTGGTGTTTCAGCAAAAGTGAAAGAAAAAACGTTCACAAAATAACAGCAAGACAAACCTCCACACGCAACGTGTGCATCACCGTGGAGCATCGCTTCTATCCCCGCAAGTAAAAGAGGCGCCGTCACACCATCCGCAAGGATCGCCACAAACACGCCAAATTGCGACGTACGCAACACACTCCGCCGTGACCATCGTTTTCCCGATAACGAAGCCCACTCCCGTCCACCGTGTCTGCCAAGCAGGACACACCAGGTCTGCCGCTGCAACGCAAAAAAGATCCAGAAATACGCAACGGATCCCGTCGCAGTCGTTGGCTCGGACGCCGTGTTGAGGTTTGGGATAGGCCGATGGAAGAATACAACAAAACGGCCAAATATCCCCGCGGAATCCCGCATTCCACGCAGTCCCAATGGCCCGAGGGCCCTCTAGGGACGCCTGGGAGACGCATCCGCCAAACCCTCACGCACCATCCTTCACGGCACCCCAATCGAGTTCAGCGGGCCTCGTGAAGCACACGGCGCGCCTCAGTGGCGTGGCGAGCAGCCTTCTCGGAGAAAAGGACGCGTGGCGATGGTTCCCCTCCCCGCTTCACTTTTCTTTCTTTCTCCTGTTTTTGGTGGCATGTCACAGAAGGGGAGCGCACTTCATGTCCCCGAGCCCCTCTCTCGGTGCACGCACAAAAACAGAGAGGGAAATAATAAACGAGTGGGTCAGGTGGCACGGAGAAATAAATGTAAAGGAGACAAACTAACCAACAGAATAAACAAAGAGCCCGGCAGATATACACGCAGCATATCCAGCGGAAACAGTTGTCACCTTCAGTGGGTAAATTAGTAGCCAATGAGGGCGTCGATCGCCCACGATAAGAAACAACTTTGTGCCCACAATACTTTTGGCTTGTTTTCTGCTTCCCTCCCCTGTTATTTCTCCCTCATTCATCATCTTCATTTTTCTTAATTGCTACTTCCCTCTCCTACCTTCGGCTACACGGCCAAGTTTGGACGCTGCGCCCTCCCCCTGTCAGGCCAAATATATGTTTGCGCTCTTTAAAACCCATGGCGTACTCGCTTAAATATCGTTTGTGTAAATAAAATAAAAAAAAACTTTTAATAATTGAAGTGAAAAATAAAACAAAATAATAAAAACAAAAAACATGCGACTGGCGCCAGTTCATCTTCCTTTCGTCGTGAAAGGATGCAAAAGCGTCCTGTCGTACTCAACCTTTGGAACCCCTTGCTCCTCGTCATGCCCGTAGGCCCGAATGCGCTGTATGCGTGCCTCATCATTCACCCAAACGTCTGCGGGGGACCATGCCGTCATATGGCTCCTTGCACCCGCCACTGCACGCCCGTGGACGGTTCCACTTCATCATGGCATATGGTTGGTTCGTCATCAAAGACCTGACGCGACGGTACCAGAGAGCGTCCGGTAGCTCCAGTTGCTCCGAGAGACGAATATTCGAGCTGCCGCGATGCACAAATTTGCCACATAAGAAATTTCGCTCCTGAAATCCAAACAAACGGAGACGTAAGCTGTAGTCGACATCCTCCACGCAAGCTGGGTAGAAGTTCTCGTCAAAATATCCCACCGTGCTGATCGCCAGGCGTGTCAACATAACAGACGCAAAACAACTGCTTTTGTAATACGCGCAGAAGTGCCCGCAATGCTTCGAAAACATCGTTTCACGCTCCTTCGCAGAGGAATAACGGATGCGGTCAGGCAGCAGCGCAGACGTCGACAATCGGCCATCGTTCACCGTGGAGCGCAGCACCCTCAAGCCCCGTCGCAAAACAGGACTGTACTCGCTCGTCTCATTCGCCGCTTCCGCCGCCAATTCATCCATGCGAGCGGCATCATGCCTCGTCATTTCATGCACATCGCGTAGAAGGTTGGGAAGAAGATCGGGTGAAAACATTACGTCGCTGTTTGTCACAAAAACAAAAGGCACCTCCTCGCGCGGCAGCGAGAGTGCAAGTCGTAACCCGATGTTCACGGCGGCGCTGTACCCGATGTTTTCCGGGTGACGACTCACAACCAGGCGTCCGGACCACCCATAGACCCTCTCGAGTTCCTGCAGGCACAACGACAGCATCGCCTCCCGCCCGTTCTGCACCAAAACCAACAGCCGGATGGGCACACTGATGTTGCACATCATCCTCCAGGAACGATGGAGCCTTCACAGAAGTAAAAACAAAATAAAATTAAAAAATGATTGTAGTGGTGCGACACTGTTGACCGCAATAATTCCCTCGGAAGAAAGGCGTCCCCTGACCAAATCCTGCAGTCACACACAAATATAAAAATAGTTAAAATGCTCCCTAACATAATTCATCATAAAAGCAATGCGTCAATTACCCTCAATTATTTCTTCCACTTTCCCTTCGAAGCCTTTTTGCTTCACAAATTTAAAACTCCTACGACATTTTCTAAAACTTTTTTCGATATTGACACTTGGTACTGACGCACCTCTTCCGTCCCAGAACGCCACAATTTCTTTTTCAGCGTCGGTTTCATTATTGGGATTGACGACATCACATCTTCGCCAGCCATTCATCGGCGTGCTGTCTGCGTGCTGCACGTAAATAATCTCCCACGACATGTCTCGGGATAACTCCTCCCAACCATTAAAATATGCCGCCAGGCACTCAGTGAACTGCCGCACAGTGCTGGTTATCTTGTGGTGCTCACCCGCCGCAGACATCCGCAGACCAACCAGCGTCTTCGGATTTGAGTCCACAAATAAAAAGCCGTCCGCCAGCGGAAAGCCCTCCACCTCCGGTATGTACAACACACAGCAATCTACGCCAACCTTCTCAGAAAAGTAATGCGGTGGCGGTAAGACATGGTGCCTGGTGGGGCGCTCCTGTGAGTACACCTCCAGCGCACTGCGGTGTGGCTGACGTCGTGCTGTTCGCTTCAGCTCCCTCACTTTGTGTCGTATTGCAGTTATGAAGTCCGCATCCAAAAATGCAAAGACGGTACACCGTTCCATATTTTTTGATACAAGATTATGCTTGAGACTCAATATGAGTGAATTAAAATCATCCTGCTGCATTAACTTTGCCAACATGCACAATGTTTTATTACAGAGATGGTCAGATATCGGCAAATTCAAAGAAAATTCACCCTTGCAAGCTCCCTCTCGTATTCGTACAACCTTCGCAAGCCAGTGGAACACGCTATTACCACCCCACATCGTAGAATTCCCCAAGCCAGTGTAATACTGAGTTTCCGGGGAAATCGTCTCTTCCACGGTTTCTTGACACTTCTCAATCCGATCATCATATGATTGCTCATCAAAGATGTGGCGAAGAATCGGTCCCACTTTATCCATGCGACCCTTCACCTCTCGCCAGTATTCCGCTTGCTGCTGC